GCTGCGGCTGCAGCTGCGGCAGCAAAGAAGGCGGCTGGGGCGGCGGCTGCGGCGGCGAAGGCGGAGGCGAAGCCGAAGGCGGCGGCACGGCCGTGGGCGAGGAAGAGGGCGCGGGCGGCGCCGCCGCCGCTGGAAAAAAACAAACGGCAAAGTTGTGAAGCGGCGCAGGAGACAGCCACAGCAGACGGACCGAAGAGGTGTCAGCGGCGGCAGCGGCAAGCGCCATGGCGGCGGAGAGGGCGATGGGGAATATTTCAGGACGAGCAAATCATCAGATGCACTAGCCCCGGCGGCGGTGGAGTGCTGGTGCTCGAGCAAACGCGAGCGAGGCGCCGCAGCCGCCGCCATGAAGGCGCCGTGTGAAACGGGGCGCTGCTGAAAGCGAGGCAGCGGCGTCCGCAGACAGCGGGGTGTGTCTGCCTAGGATTCTCGTCTGCCGCGGTGGCGGTGGTCGCGCACGCACCTCCTTGGTCGCTGCACGTCATGCCAAGATAGATGGACTCGACACACGGCTCAGCACCCAGCTTGGCTGCGGCGGCGGCGGCGGCGGCAGCCGACGGGCCCGCGACGCCTGCGGGCGGCGTGTAGCCCGGCGGCGGCGCGCACCAGTCCCAACGGAGGGAGACTGGCGGGTCTGTGCCGGCGGGCGGCTTGGGGCAGCTGCCTGCGTCCACGTAGCACCAGGTACCATCAGGCCGCCTGCAGGGGCGGTTGGCAATGTATGCGCACCCGATTTAAGTAACAACAAGTTGTTCAGGTCAGCCGTGCAAAGCATGCAGAGTCGAGGTAAGCAAGGGGGCCGGTGAGGGTGACCCTGGGGCCGCACTTGTCGCAGCACGTGTCATCAGCTGGCGTGAATTGGAGGGGGCCTGCTGTGCAGGTGCTCTGTGGCGACCCTGGCGCCTGGCAAGGGCACTTTCTGCACACCAGATCCCGCTCTGCACGTGCGCAAGTCCCCAGCCACCCACTCTGGGGTCGAGACGCAGGCGTTGCCTGTGTGGGTCTGGTTTGCGGGGTCCTTCCATAGCCCCGCGCACAGGCAGCCGCTCACAGTCGTGGCGCGGACGGGCCCGCACTGCGAGCGGCGGGCGCGGGCCGCGGCAGATCGAGCGGGGGATGAGCCAGAGCCAGCTGAGAAAAAGGCGATGGGTTGAAAAGCCACTAGGCGACTGAGAGCAGGGGCAACGCCATGACTTCCGGACCTGTTTGGCCTGCAGGCGGCTCACGCCTTGCATGCCTCTGGCGCCGGAAGGTCAGCAAACATCGACAGACCATGCACATGCGGCTGCCGACGCGCCGGTTGACAGCCCGATTGTGGGCTCGCATCCAATGAGCTGGAAGGGTTCCATGCATGAGGAGGGATTGGTGCGGTGTGCGCCAATGGGAAGCTTCCTCAAGGCTTACGTAATCATAGTGGAACAGGACGTTGCCCTGTTCTGCCTTGTAGGCGCCAAAGAACGAGCTGCAGTTGCGCGGGTCTACGGGGCACCTGCGGGCAGTGGAAGGCGATGGCTGCGGCGCTGGGTGCGCGAACACGATTGCAGCTCGGCTGAGAGTTTTGAGGCTTAAGGTTCAGGGTACATGGTTCTTGATGCATGGTGCGTGCTGCCTATGAGGGGGATTGGTGTGAGCTGCTAGGTTTGGAGGTGGTCGATTACGGCTGAGGGTCGGGTGCGTTGAGTCGGGTGCCGCGGGCAGGCGGAGAATTTGCAGTGCACGACATTTGCCAGCCGCGTGCAGCTGTGTCATGCACAAGGCAGTCTGATTTGATCAGCACAGTGCCAGGTGGGAGCAGTCTCCAGGCCTGATGACTCACTCTCCTAGGCAACATGCAGCTTGCCATGAAAGATATCCTCAAGGCACAAATGCTTTTCCAGAATTGCATGCGCCCCCTACGGCCCCTAAACCCCGTGGTGTACACCACGATTTCGCATAACATATTGCGCTTACCAGGGGCCAAACGGGAAGTACAACGGGTCGGAGTCTGCGCACCCTACAAAGCTGCTGTTCGGGGCGCCAGTCACCTGGGTGTTGATTGTGCCACGGCAGTGCAGGCAGCGAGGGCACGTGGGGCTGCCAGGAATGCATGAGGGGACGTTAGGGACTATTGCGTCGAAGTACTGTGCACTGCCGGTTGGCTCGTAGGCACCAGCTGACTCGTCCATAACCTTGCCCGCCGCTGCCGCTACCACTCTCGGCTTCCTCCAGGCACAAGTGCGCCAACGGGCCAGAAGAATTCTGAGCCCACCACCTCCATGCCACTCGGGCTAAAAACCACGACACCAGCAGCAAAATCATGGCAACAAGCGCCAAGCTTTGACAACAACTCCAGATCGTCCAAGGTTATCATCGCCGCTCTCACCGGGTCGTAGTGGTCCCAGCTCCGAGGCGAGCATGTGCAGTTGGCCTGGGTCGTGAAGCGGTACACCCGCCTGCCGGTTTGCGGGTCCGCCTTGTAGGCGGGGCCGGCCGGCACCGGCGGCAGCGTGGCCAGCTCTTTAGGCGTCAGCGGCGGGTCGCTGGAGCGCTCGGCGTCGTATGTGGCGTCTGTACAGAAGTCAAAGGGGGTGCTGTACGGGTCTGCGATGCCTGCGGGGAGGACAGGATTCGTGCCAGAGAGTAGCACTGAGGCTCCAAGACACCTTCAGCTGGATGTGAGAAATTGCATATCGAAATGCGCCTAGGAAAGTTCAGGAAGACGTCATAACTCCAGGTGCCATGGACGGGGGGAAAGAGTGCACGATGGCAGCTGGTGTGCTGCGCCTGGTCGTACCTTGTGTCGGCATCCTGCCCCCATCACAGCTCCCCGGGGCGACTGCGGGGCAGATTACGGACACCACAGCAGTGCGGGAGATAGTGAGTGCCGTTCGACGGCAGCAAGAGCCGACTTGACGGCTGGTGCGGCAGGCTCAGGCCCCCACAGCCATTGTGTGTGCATGCAGTGCAATTGGCGTTACCATAGCACCACGATCGGCTCGAGCTGGCGCCATCAGGGGTTGGCGCCACCACACAGCGCCCCTCGATCGCGGCGCCGCCGCTGTCCGCCGCCGACGCCGGCGCGGCCTCGGCGCCTGGCGCGCCCGCGTACAGCGGCGGCCGGGGTGTGCCGTTCACTGGCGGCCACCACCTCGCGCTGCAGAGGCATCCTTGGGTTGTGCGGTCCCTGCGTTGATGAGTGGGATTCACTGCATTGCGTGGCCAGGACTGGAAGTGCAGCAGGCGCTGCTACGGCTGTGCCCGTTGTCGTCGCTTGCTGATCCAGTAGTGATTGGCCCTGGTGTGGCGCATGTCCAAGGAACCAGACTGCAGCTGCTCTGACTCTGAAATTCTCAAGGCCACAGCAGCATGCACGTGCAAGCCATTTGCATATGGATAGCCCACCTTGTAGCAGTGCAGTAGTCCCAGCCGACCTCCTGCCCAGTGGAGTTACTCACAAACTTGCCGTAGAAAGAGGTGCAATTTGTGGTGTTGACTACGCACCAGTCACCTGAGTGGGTTGGCGTGGCGCGCCAATAACGTGCCTTCTCCAAATGAGGAGCCGATACTGGTGAGTGCTGGTGCCTTAGACGTGTGCAGAAACTGCAACAGAGCAAAGAACACAGCGTGATGCGTGTGGTAAGCAAAGTGGAGGTGCACACATTGTATTTGAATGGAAGCGTCTTGAACGCGGGAGCGGATGGAGAGCACACCATGAACCTGAGGACGCGGCACAGCGCAGCGTGTGCGCACCGCCTGGGTCGTCATTGGGGTTGGCGCAGCCGCTCAGGAGGATCTGGTTGGTTCCCAGGTAGGCGCTCGTGTCGCTGCTCTGCCAGGACCATTGCGGTAGGCAGGGGCACCCGGTGACGCCGACGGCGCCAGATGCGGCCTTGTTGGTGTATGCTTGAGTCCCTGGAACCGCACCCGGTTGCGAGATGCATAGTCTCGGCAGAGTTTAGGTGCACTGTGGGCGTCACAAGCGCGCCGGACAGTGCAGCGTGCTGCGGGGACACATCCAACAAGCGGTCGCCCGCTAGGCGGGTGGGCAGCACCTTGAGCCAGCAGCAGGCGAGCCGGGCTGCCACTGCGTAGTGGTCGCCATGCGGCAGCGGGAACGAGAAACCACACCACGAAGAGGGCCCAATAGCCCCTCGCCATCGCGCGGGCGATCTCGCTCGACGGCTGGCCGTTGACAGCTTTAGATAGGATGCCGTACGACTAGCGGCTGATATCGGAGCTGATTCAGGTAAAACGATGCCGTGTCGCAAAACGAAAAGAGTGCCATTCGCCGGGCCGAGGTTCGCCTTGTTTCAATCGCCGCAAAGGTTTTTGAATCAGATATGACCATGAAATGCCGTGAAGGTCGCAGAAACAGCTAGTGTCAGCCACCTAATCCCAGCCTGAGACTGGGCAGGAAGGGGTGGATTGTTCAACTGGCAAGTGCTGTGCAGAAGACAGCGACAGCCACGCCACTGTTGTGAGAGGGTGTTTGCTGGCAAAATTTCCAAGCTGGGAGGAGCTGTGATATGTGCTGGGGAGGGAGGCAGTGGCTTGTCCCAGGCATCATCCCGACGGCACGGTGAGCACGGCCTCATCTCTGATCTAGAGGGCAAAAAACCCGCAACCGCCAACAAAACTGACAAAAGGCGAACTGGACTGATGCCTTTAAACTCCCAAGGACTGTGCTGCGCCGGTCAAACCCTTGTCGAACTTACACAGAGGTGGGTTTGACAGCTGCCAATGCTTGATTGGCCGTGATCCTTGGCGCGGCACGCCGTGCGAACGTTGTAATGCTGAGTTTGGTCAAATGTAGTCAAGTCAAGACGAGCTGTGAATCGTAGTGATGTCAGGCGCAAGAGGCCAGTGCAGAAGGGTGCACCTCACAGCAAGGGGGCTGCACATGCACACAGAAAAGGCTCACATGCAAGGGCTGCACACCACATGGTAGCCCTTGCCAAACCCACGCCTCCTCGGGTCCTCTGCGGCACAAAGCATCGTGCTGCTGCACACACGCCCTCACGCGCAAAGAATTTGCTCCCTGCCACCGTCATCGGCACGCTCTTTTCAAGCAAGACAAAGACATGATCCACCTGGTCACTGCTTGCTTGCAGCAAGCGCCATCTTTTCAGCCCCACACACCATGCCGTGGCGTTGTAAATGCCTGCCGCGCCCTGCATCTGCCCAGGTGCAGCCCCGACCCCCTCCAATCGCGTCAGCCCCTCTGCGCCGCGTCACAGCCCGCCGTCGCCCCCGCCCGCGCCGCCCAGGTTCGCCACGAGGGCGTTGAGGTTGTGGGTGGCCGCCACCAGCAGGTCACGCCGGCGCGCGCCGACCTGCGCCTCGTCAGACACCCGGCAGAGGCTGGCGGCGGTGTCGGCCTGGAAGTCTGCGAGGCTGGCCCGCGCCCTGTGGGTAGGTGGGGAGCGCACGCAGGTGCAAGGGGTGTCGTCAGAGCTGGTTGATGAGTCGCACAAAGAAGGGCAGCCTAGAAAGACAGCACCCTGCCCGAGGCGCACGGACGGCCCCCGCACAGCGGCTGGCGCGCTGCGGGGCAGCCGGCCAGAGCGCGACCCTGGTCTTGGGCGGCCGGTACTGCAAGCTGCATGCGGGCCTCACATGTTGATTCTCTGGCGCCACTCGTCCTTGAGTTTGTCGAGGAACGCCACCACAGACTGCTCCATGTTGTCCAGCTGATGCAAGAGGGCATTGTGATGGGGGCGCATCCGCAGAATTGACCGATGCGGGGAGTGCAGGCGCCCGCAGGTGCGAGCAGCGGCGGGCTTTGCTGTCTGTTGAGTGCTTATGGGCGATGAGCAGCACGCATGAGGGCATCACACAGCATAAGCATGTATGCAAATCTGGGCCGGCATGGGGCTGGCGGCCGCAACCTGACAGCAGGCTGTTGTTGGCTTGCACAACAGCAGCATCCCCCTTTCTCAGCTGGCTACATGGTCAGCCGATACTGCATGCGCGCGAACGCATGCGAGCATCAACATGCATGATGCCCCTGGGCCACAGGCGCTCACGGCGGCGCATGCTTCGCCTCATCACCCCTTTCCCCCCCGCTCACGTCTCCAAAGACTTGCGCAATGTGTTCCTGCATGCCCTGGAGCCCCTCCAGCACGATGGGCGTCAGATCGTTCGAGTTGCTGAGCTGCAGCGGAGGGGGCGCGACGCCGCTCGTGCTCCCATAGTTTGACGCTGCAGCACCGCCGCCCTCCTCCTGCTCCCGCTGCTGCTGCTGGGCTGGCTGCTGGGCCGGCTGGGGCGAGGGCGTGCGCTCGTCGTCCTGCTGCAGTGACGGCGGCGCGCGGTCGCGGCGGCGCTTGTGGTGCGGCTGCGGCTCTGGATGCAGGTCCTGATCGCCGAACAGAGCGTCCCCGCCTGTCAAGGCCCCCTCAAACTCCATGGTTTGCACTTGTGCTGCGATGTCGTGATGACAACGGTGTGCTGCGCTGACGCTGCTTGTGCTGGGCGTGCCGAGGGCGTTGATGGGTCGCGGCTCGCTCTCCAGCGTTCAAATTTCATTATCAAAATCATCGATTGATTGTTCGATAGGCGCTTAGGAGCCCAAATACAGCCTCCTGGATGAGCGGTGTGCCTGGTGACTGCCAACATTTGAATCGCGGCGACTGTACTTCAGACCTGCGCGTTAATTTTCTCTACCTTATGAGAATGGTCATTAAACATAGTTCTTTCCATTACTTAGTAGCACACATAGGTCCGATTGCTGATCTGGTCGCCCCGGGACCTGCCCCGATCGCTCAAAAGCGACCCGCAAGGGCTCTGGATCAAGGTCGTCCCCTCAACACACCTCCCCGGTGCGGCAGCATTAGCCGAGGGTGGTATGCGGAGGGCGGCTCCGGCGTGCACGCTGCTGCCCAAAATGCGGCCGTGCTCGTGCTGGGCCCCACAGCGCCTCCCCTTCAAGCTGCAGCATCGACCGCAGATGCAGCAGCCCTCCTGCGGCCTTGCCTTGAATCCTACACCCCTCGCTTGCCCCGTTGACGACTCTCGACCCCGTATGACCCCTCCCCCCCTTGCAGGGGGCCATCAACACGCGGCAATGGCTCCGTTGCGACCCGCCCTGGCCCTGCTGCTCGCCTTCCTAGTCACCATCCAAGGCCAACAGGCCTCCGTGCAGGTGTGACGAATGGTGGCTGCAGTATGCAGCATGTGGCGCATGCGGCTCAGCATGTGCAGTGGTGAAAAGGTTGCGATGCTGTCCAGCCGCAGCCCGCCCACTGTCACCCAGTGCTGCCCACTCAACGGCCCACATCTCAGGTGGAGCCGCAGACCGCAACAGAGGCGGTCGACCCAATCGCAACTGTGGCGGTTGAGTCCACCACGACGGTCATCTATAAGAGCGGCTTTGGGCCCGGCTGGCGCGACGCGTCGTACGGCTGCATCAAATGCGCATCCGACACCACTTCGGTGAGTTGAAGGGTCTGGGTGCAAAGCTGGAGGGATTGCATGCATGCGGTGGCACCCCCACCACTGTCTAAACTTGCTCAGCGCATGCGCATGTTGCAGCCCTGCATGTGGCAGCCCCGCATGCAGCAGCCCCGCTTGCGGCAGGCCTGCATGAGGCGACGCCGAAGCGCCGACCGCTTCGGCCTAGAAGGCAACCAACCCTGGCATGCGTGCATGCATGCATGTATGCATGCATGCATGCGGGACCCAACCACGCCCACATGCCTCACAACACCCCTGTCCCAACGGCAGCCACGCGACACCTCAACGGCCTCCTTCACCGCGAGCGTCGCCGCTTGGGGCGCCCTGGTGCTGGCCGCCAACCAATCCTTTCCGCCCGACGGCGTGCTTGACTTTTGGGTGCGCGGATCCGGCGTCATGTTTGTGTCAATCTTCCTGGAGGACACACGGGGCCGCCGCTTCTCCAAGTGGGTATTGCTGCATGTGGTTGGGGGTGGAGCCTTTGCATGTATGCGTGAGCGGGCTGCATGGGCCCATGCATGCCTGCATGGGGCTTGTCTAAAAACTTGCATGCCTTTATGTGGCGCATGCTGGGTTTGCATGCGGTTCAAGGGCAACATGCTATTACTAGACCCACTCACATAGACATGCAGCAGCTTACCGTGCGCTCCCTCGGCCAACCTGTGACGAGCCCCCACCCCAAGCACCAACTACCCCCCATGCCACTCATCCCCGCCCAAATCCCAAACACGTCAATAGGGATGTCCGCCTCTCGCGCCCCGACCTTGACACCGACGTCGTCACCATTCACGGGTCCGACGACGCCGGCTGGATCCACATTAGCATCAGCGTCGCGGGCCTGGCGGACAGCTCCGGGGCCGACGGGGCAAAGGCGGCGACAGAGTACAACCGGGTCGTCTTCAAGGACGTGTCGGGTGAGCTGTTTGGGATCTGACAGGGTTGGTTCATTGGTCGTGTGACACGAGTGGTGGTGGGGCATCTATTTGGCTCCGTCTTGAGCAGTGAGGCGAGGCAGTGCACCGGGGTATGACTGGAGGGGGGAAGCGAAGGTCGGTTGGGGGATGTGCGCGCATCAGCTGTATCGAAAACAGCAACCCAGCCTGGGGCTGCTGAGCAGCTCCCTCGCGCCCCTTGGCGCCTTCGCCCTATTTAGCTTGAGCCCCTCGTACACCCTCAACCCACCAAAACGCGATCACATCAGCGCACTCATCACCAACACATTCCTCGACTTCACCCCAGGCGTGGGGTTCAAGCTCGCTCTCGACGACGTGCGGATCGTCCAGGCCGTCAGCATGGCCCAGATCAGCGACGCCTTCCTGCTCCTCCAGGCGTCATCGTCCCGCATCGCGCCCCTCTTCAACGCCGACCTGGTGGTGAGTTGGGAGTGGGAGGGTTGGCGGGCAGGCCTCGCGCAGGGCAGGGGTGCGATGCTACCCAGCAAGCGTGGAGCCAAGGGGAGGGGGAGTTGCCATAGTGGTCTGGTGCTGGCACTTCAGACTCGAGAGACTCCGGGCCTGCTCAAGCGCAAGGCGCGGCCGCCCAGCAAGCATCCCAATGCGCCCAGCTTCCCCCCAAGCCGTCGCATATGCGCCCCAGTAGCCCACCTCATCTTTGCCCTGCGCTGCCCCCCATGCTGCATACACTGCGGCCCCAGGCGCCCCAGGTGACCAATTCCCGCTACATTGTCCGCTTCAAGGAGTCCCAGACCCTCTCCACTGCCCAGGTGGGCGCCGTGGTCCCGCCTCTGCTTCCCATAAGGGTCGCTCGCGCTGCATCAATGCGAGGCGGGCCGCCAGCTGCGCGGCGGATGTCACACCATGAATGCAATGAGCAGTAGCAGATGCGTGTACACAATCCAGCAAGTGCCCCTTTGATTGAGCCGTTCTCTGCAACACGACCCGCAGTCTGTCTGCGACGAGCTGAAGGGCAGCCTGCCGGCCGGCGCCACGCAGCGCTTCCGCGGCTTCTGCGACAACAGCTTCTTTGCAGTGAGTCTTTAGGGAGAATGTTTTCTGATGTCGGGCTGCTTGAGGGGGCTGAGAGCGCAGAGCCGGCCACCATCCGCACCTCTTGTGATGCTGGCCGGGAGCTGCGCCCGTCTACCTAGGTCTTGGAGGCTGCACATCTTAGGAGGGCCGCATGTTTGCTGCCAGGCATGGCGCAGCACCACGCCTGGTCGGCCGAAGATGCAGTCCAGCACAATGCCGTATAGGCGAATCACACGCAGTCCCCAACCACTGCGGCGCCGCCGCCATCGCCGCTGCCGCCCGCAGCTCCAGTCTGGCGCGCAGTCCTCGAAGCTGGCCTGGCGCTTCGTGCCCGTCACTGTCAAGTCGGCGGTGGGTGGCCGCGCGCTGGGGACGCGGGTTGCGGGGATGGGCGACGGCCTGCAAATGATGTGCTCCCTCTGCTGGAAATACCACCAACACATTGCGGTTGCTGATCATTCAACCCGTCAGCTCTTTACCTCGTGCATGCGCACTACTTGCCAATACATTCGCGCAAACACGCACACGCGCGTGCCCACATACATACATATACACACACATATTGTGCGTGCGCACACACACGAACGCACACACACACACACACACACACACACACACACACATACACACACACCTCAGGACGACCTCAAGGCGCTACGCACGTCACTGGCCGACAAGATTCAGTACGTTGAGGCCGACCTCACCGCCTATGCCTACCCAACACACCCTAAGGTCCCCGGGTTTGGCTAAGGAGGGTGTGGATTTTGGCCCATTGCTGCTTTTGCTGCACCCGCGAGGCCTCACAGTGCAGCCTAAGTTTGTGAACGGCACTGCCGGCGGGCCACCCAGCGTTGTCCCATCCAGAAACCCTCGCACCTGTTCCGACTGCGCCCTCCATACTTGCTGTGCGGCCCGGCGCCTGAGGACTGGCGCCGCCCGGCCCCCTGAAAACCCGCAAAACCCCGCAGGTCTCCAGCTTCCGCGCCCGCGCCCGCAGCCTCTCCGGCTTCCGCGACGACCAGGAGGCCGCCGCCGCCGCCGCCGGCGTGCCCGCGCCCGCGCCTGTGGAGGTGGATGGCGACACCTCTGCCGCCGAGGTGCGGCGCGCCCCGGGTTTGCAGCGCGCCCATCGCTCGGCGGAACCCTGGCCTTCGCGGATCAGGGGATGGCGGGCGATTCTGGATGCCCCATCGCAGAGAGGGGGCGGCGGCGAGGCTCGACGCGGCCGGCTTGAGGGCCGCTCTGGCACAGACCAGCTCAGCTTGTCGCGGGGGTGGAGTGGAAGCCAATTAGGGCCAACCAAATTCTAGGGGCTGACCATTTGCTCGCCAAATGTTCGCAGCCTGCGGACTCGGAAAACACCCCACACGCAAGGAAAACCCGCCCATCCGCAGGGCCAGGCCGTCGCGGCGGAGTCGAGCCAGGGCGGCGCGGTGGCGGCGTCCGGCGGCGTCGACGTGTTCCCGCCCACGCTGCCGCCGGATGAGCAGGCGTACCGCGTGCTGCCGGCGCCCGATGGGCGAAATGGCACGGTCAGCGCCGCGGCCGACGTGTGGGCGCAGGTGGGCGGCTGCCGCGGGACGGGCGCCGGCGCCAGGGGAAGATCAGGCCCCGCACTGCGTGCATCTGAACAGCGGCCTGCTGTTCCCAGGCCTCACCTCACCTCCCAGGCCTCACGTCACAGGCGCCCACGGCGCCTGCGCGGCGCCGCCTCAGACGCTGCTTCCCCACGATCCTCCATTCCTCCACCCACCCTCTGCACATCCCCCTCCCTGCCGCCTTCCCCCAAACATACACGCACACAAGACACAAAATAATATGTTACGCAATCATCATCATGTACACTAGTCATGTTCAGGTCGCCCAACCACCCCCCAACCTCCGCCCCATCCCCGCCACAACCCTCCCTGCCCACACCAGAGTGGCGCGCGCTCCTGGGGCCAGGACCGGATGGACCAGCTGCGCCTGCCCCTGGACGGCGTCTACAACCCCGGGGACCTGGACGGACGCGGCGTGCACGGTGTGCGGCGGCGGCGGCTCGCAGCGGCCACGCCGCTGTCCGCCGGCTCTGACAGCCGTCGCCGCCGTGCGACTCACGGCCGCCTATGCCGCACTTGCGACCCGGCCCATTCACGCCGTATCCACTTACGTTCCCTCCCCCACCCTGGCCCCCGCCGGCTGTCCCACCAACCTCGCCCTCGCCTGCGCGCCCCTCGCCCCTGCCACCGCCGCCCCGGCCGCCGCCTCGCCCAGTGTTTGTGATCGACACCGGCCTGAGGGCCAGCCACGCGGACTTCCGCGGCAGAGTGGGGCAGGGGGCCACCTTCGTGGGTAACAGCTACGCAGACGACCACGGCCATGGCACCCATGGTGAGTGTTGTGTGTGTGTGTGTGTGTGCGCATATGTGAAAATAGCACGCGCATGTGTGCTTGCTCATGTGTTCGATCTGCCATCATTGATGAGTGGTTGGATCGCGGTGAGAGGCAGCCTGGCCAGCAAGGGGGCTGCAGTGCGCATGATGTCCCACAGTCCTCCAGCCATTCGCATTTGGGACCCGCCGTCCCCCCCCCCCAAACCATGGCAGCCCTCAAACGCGCCCCTCCCCCTTCCGACCCCGAAAACCCCCCGCCCCCTAACCAGCGTCCGGCACGGCGGTGGGCGCCATCCACGGCATCGCCCGCAGCGCCACTCTGCACCCCGTCAAGGTGCTAATCCACCGCGGGCCCCAAGAGCGCATGCAAGCCTGTGATTTTGGGGGGGAGGGTGCACGCGCGGAAGCGCCAGCCGCTGCAACCGGCTGCTCAAGCCGAGGCGGGAAGGCGCAGCGGTGGCCCGGGGCCCGGGGCCTGACCACACAGCGCAACACCCTGTGTCCCTCTGTCTCACCGATTTGCCAACCGCTCCCACCCCCCCAGGCCCTGGACTCTCAGGGCGCGGGCAGCTACAGCAACATCATCAGCGGGATGCAGTGGTGCGCCGCCGCGCCGACCCTGCGGCCGACCTCGCCGCGCAACCAAGGGCTGAGAGCGGGCGGCGCCTCCAAGCGCGCCGCCCGCCCAAACGCCCAGGGCCGATCCTGGGAGACGTCCGCCCCCGCCTGCATCTTCTGGACCAGCTATCCCAGGGCCACGAGCCGTGGCCGCCATTACTGCCCCTGAACACAACCCCTGCCACGCCGCCGCAGCTGACAAACACCCCCTCATCGTCGTCCATTTTCTCCAGTCCGCCCCAGGTGAATAACGGCACCCCTTGAAACCGCTCCCTCCTTTTCACTCGAACCCGGCAGGGTCAAGTCGTATGTGGCCAACAACGGCATCAGGAGCGCTGTCGTGTCGCTGTCGCTGGGCGGCCCCCGCTCCGCCGCGCTCAACGACGCCGCCGCCGACCTCACCGCCGCGGGCATCACCGTGGTTGTGG